ACACACACACACACACACACACACACACACACACACACACACACACATACATACACACATATGTGAATAATACATATATGAACTCACAAGTGAGTATGCACATGCATAAGCACACACATACACACAAAGAAGGGTCTCAAACATATCCACACCCAATAATATTGGCAAATGATGTTAAACATCATTTTGAAACTGTCAGTTACTCTTATTTGAAATGTAAGTTATGTAAATGTACATGTATTAATCAAAAATTTAAGAAAATTAATAGGAGGGTAAATGTTAAGTATCCGGATATCATAATGTACTTAATGAGATTATATAACCAAAATAATACATAATTTTAAAATCCATTTAAAATTAAGGCTTCAGACCCAGTCAAATTGTAGGATTAGAATTTCTTATTGCAATAATTTGTAATTGCTGTGTTTTAGCATGGATTTTGTGACACAGAGAACATTTGGCAATGTCAAGTTTTCTTTTGGATTACCACAGTTATGTGTGGACAATAGTGATTTGTAACATGTACAGATCAAGAATGCTGCTAAATATTCTGCAATGTGTTAGACAGACAACCCCAAACATTGCAGCTAGCTCAAAACATCAAATACTGCTATTTTTAGGTCTATTTTATTTTTCAAGAAAACAATTGCCATAATATGCACAATATGGCTCAAGTTAGTAAAGGAGGGAAATAAGGTTCCTCAGAGTAGCTTTTAAAATACATATTACCTGATAACAGGCATGAAAATCATAATACTAAAAGACACGGCTCTCTCTACATACAAATGCAAACCATCACTGGGTAAACAAAAACACATATTTAGCAGTGTGTAACATGCATCATGATTTTTCATTTTAGTAAGTATATATCATGAACTTTGCCCTCTTAAAAATATAACAATGCAATAAGTTATTGTAAACAAACATCCATTCCTCTTACATGACTGGAACTTTATATACATTGAATAACCCTTATTTCCCTTTCATACTAGTTGGTAGCAATCATTGTTCTGAACTCCACTTCTATGGATTTGGCAATTTTCAATGTCCTGTAAGTGAAAATAATGCATTGTTTCTCTCTATGTGTCTTGATCAAAAAAACAGGTGTCATAAAGGGAAAAAAGAAGAAAATATGGAATATTAGATCTAACTGAGAGATGAAAGGAATATAGAGGTTGAGGGAGGAAGGAAAGACAAATAACACTAAAGATGTTTTATATACATATATAATATAAAATAAATGGAGTTATAACAGATGAGGTAATAATGCTTTTTCCCAAGCTCGTAGACAATCGAAAAGACCCCCAGTGCCAAACATGGAAAACTTCCCTTCCAGTGTTTGCTCAGGACCTTCCAAGAGACTCTCAAACATTATAGGCCCCTGCCTTTGTTTACCTACCATAAATTTAAAGTATATAACTAATTCAAAAAGAAAGGTCAAGAATTTCAGAGGTCACAAGAGGCTTTGGGAGGAGTTGGAAAAGAGATGGAAATTATATACAATTTTCTTGATTCGTGTATGAAATTATTAAAAAATAAAAATTAAAAATGAATGCAATTCTTATATCTTCTGTATCGGCGAATCAATCCCACACCAGTTATGTTTTAAGGGGTTATTTATTTTGGGGGGTAAAACTTACATACGCCATAATCCGTCAGGAAGGGTGCCTAGTCGCTGGAGCAGGAGCTAGGAGCAGGAGCCGGGAGCAAGCGCCGAAACCAAAAGGGCCTGATCCGGATCTGTATCTCTTTTTAAAAGAGAAATATACCACGCCCCAGGGGGCTGGTATTTCAGCAGGTATTGGCTGACAGAGCGGAAGTCGCTCCCCGCTGCACTGTGGGCTCGTGCTTCAGCGACTATTGGCTGAGGCAGTGGAAGATACTCCCACAACACTTCTGGTTTATCCATGTTGTTGTATTGATGTTAGACTGTTCATTATAAAGGTTCAATTGTAGTTATAAGCATATACCTGATTTTCTCCAAATATTTTTTCATCAGTGGACTTTTACAAAACCTATTTAACTTAGCTATTATTAGTAGCACGGTAGTGAATACAGGAATGTAGAGATTGCTTCAGTATGTTAATTCTAATTATTGTTGATACACACCCAAAATTTGAGTGAGTAGATCATATTATATACTTATATTTATATTTTCTTCTACAGTAGATGTGTCACTTCACACTCTTACCTACAGTATGTAAGAGCTCAAATTTGAGTATATCTCATGAATATTTGAAATTATTAGCTTGTTTTATTTCTTTTTTGTACCAACTACTCTAAAATATAAGGGTTAATTTTTATTTTTAATCAGTGAAATGTGAAGATCTCATATTTAAATGTATTTTAATGCTTTAAAATTTAAAAAATTCTGTTTTGTGTCATAGTTTATTTTGCTATTTTTAATTAACTCTTTAACAATTCCAAAGCATAAGAAACATTGTTTTGATCATATTCATTTCTTCTCTCAAATCATCTCAGGTTTACCACTCTTCTTTGTTCAACTTCAGGTCCCCTTTATTTGTGCTGTAAATGTTATTTTGGATATATGCCATTCCACTAGTAAGAAAGTTAGCATAAAATCTTGTACTAAACATTGTTCATTGAAATTATATATATATATATATATATATATATATATGCCTATTAACTGGAAATGCCATATAAAATACAATATGTAATATGATATAATTCTGATATAAGTATTGTCATAGGATTGCAGCATAGATAACTCTTAAAAACATCTAGAATATCAAAGTAGATATCTATCTATCTATCTATCTATCTATATATATAGTTTAATTAAACATATTAATTCTAAAGTTTAACAAGCCCACAGAAACAGAAAGTGGATATTAAGAGGTGCAAAAGGGGATAATGTGGAATGACTGATGAAGACTATAGTATGTGTTTGGGAGATTAAAAAAAAACTAAAATTATATAGCAGTAAGGTTTGTAACATTGGCACTATATTAAGGTTAGTGGAAATATTTAAGTGTTTCCAATTTAAATATACATGAATTTTATCTCTACAATAAAAGGTGATAATGAACTTGAAATAAAATAATGCTTTTCTGTCTTTTTAAAAATTTATTTATTTATTAAAAATTTCTGCTTCCTCACACCTCCCTTTTCCCTCCCCCTCCCCTTCTCCTTTTCCCTCTCCAGTCCTAAGAGAAATCAGAGTGCCCTGCCCTGTGGGAAGTCCAAGGTCCTCCCCCATCTATCCAGGTCTATAAGGTTGAGCATCCAAACAAACCAGGCTCCCACAAAGCCAGTCCATGCAGTAGAATCAAAACTCTGTGCCATTGTCCTTGGCTTGTCAGTCAGCCTCCATTGCCAGCCACATTCAGAGAGTCCGGTTTGATCACATGCTCCATCACTCCCAGTCCAGCTGGCCTTGGTGAGCTCCCATTAGATCAGTCCCACAGTCTCAGTGGGTGGAAGCACCCCTGGCGGTCCTGACTTCCTTGCTCATGTTCTCCCTCTTTCTGCTTCTCATTTGGACCTTGGGAAGTCAGTCCAGTGCTCCAGTGTGGATCTCTGTCTCTATCTGCATCCATCACCAGATGAAGGTTCTATAATGCTTTTTTTTGGAAGGGGCATTAGGAAAGGGTTATCTGTGGAGTAATTTAGATCAAAAACATTGATTAAAAATGATAGAAGTCATAAAAGTATCTTTTTGAAGAACAATCCAAAATAAAATAGCTAACCAGTATTTCCTATTTTTAAAATATACCTGGAATATTCAAGAAATAATCCCAATGACAATATTGATTGGAGTGCATTGAGTAAGGAGGGAAGATTTTGGTTTGAGTATAATGATAAGCCATATGAGTTGGAACAGGGAGTAATATGATTTGATGAAAATATTGAGTATGCTTGTTATCCTGAGTTAATAATCCAACCACTCCTGCAGCTAATGACAAACTGTATATGAAAGACAGCCTCAGTAATTCTACCTACTAATTCCTTTAGATTTGTCAATTCTACTTCTCTGATATTTTTTAACTTGATCTACCTTTTCAAACACCAGACAGATGAGAGTTACCTCCTCAAAGCACAAACGTTCCTCAGTTTATGATGAGATTATGTCCTTGTAAACCCTATTCTATATTAATAACATGATGCCTAGGATACGAAAAGTCAGAAATACATCTAATGTGCTTGATCTGCCAAGCACAACAGCTTAGTAACACGGTATACTGTAGGATATAAGTAGTTCACTCATATGATTGTTTGACTGGTTTGGGGGTGTGGCTCAGTGCTATTGATCAATATCAAACAAAGAGGTTACTAACTTTGCTTAATTTGTAAAACAAAACTGAAATATAAAGAATTATTTTTATAAAATGAATATTGCTTTTGCTCCTTTATTTACTTGAAAATCATAAATAAACTTAGTATAATAAGTTCATAACTATCTGATTAGAAGACATATCTGGTTTCATAAACTTCCATAAGTGATACTTATAAAATATAATGTCTTCAAATATAATTCAATTCATATTTGGTCATTACTTACTTAACCATTTCATTTTGCCTTCATAATTGAGAGTGCTAAACATTTTGCTAGATCAATTACTCTTAATTTAAAACATTTCTTTTCACGTTTATGCCTTTAATTCTATTTGTTTTGGTATATTACCTTCTTTTTGACAAGCTATTGAAAAGAAAGTCTCATTTTCTCATTTTATTCCTGAAATATCAAAGACCTCTATGTTAACTGTGCCAGCTATGAAATTCACACCTGATACTCTGCAAGAGTCATATTTGTAGGAGGAGGAGTACAAGAAGATGAAGAAGGGTTGCGAGACTGCGACTACTCGTCGCTTCGGCGGGTCCAGGTGTTGAACGGCAGCAACCCTCTCTTCCAAGATGTCAAAAACAAACAAATCCAAGTCTGGGTCTCGCTCTTCTCGCTCAAGATCTGCATCCAGATCTCGGTCTCGATCGTTTTCCAAGTCTCGGTCCAGAAGCCGATCTGTCTCCAGTTCAAGGAAGCGCAGGCTGAGTTCTAGGTCTCGTTCCAGATCGTATTCTCCAGCTCATAACAGAGAAAGGAATCACCCCCGAGTGTATCAGAATCGAGATTTCAGAGGCCACAACAGAGGCTATCGGAGGCCCTATTATTTCCGTGGGCGAAACCGAGGCTTTTATCCATGGGGCCAGTATAACCGAGGTGGCTATGGAAACTACCGGTCCAATTGGCAGAACTACCGGCAAGCATACAGTCCTCGTCGAGGCCGTTCCCGATCCCGGTCCCCAAAGAGAAGGTTCCCTTCACCACGGTCCAGGAGCCATTCTAGGAACTCGGATAAGTCATCCTCTGACAGATCAAGGCGCTCCTCATCCTCCCGGTCATCCTCCAACCACAGCAGGGTTGAATCGTCTAAGCGCAAGTCTACAAAAGAGAAGAAGTCCTCTTCTAAGGATAGCAGGCCATCTCAGGCAGCCGGTGATAACCAGGGAGATGAGGCCAAGGAGCAGACATTTTCTGGAGGTGCATCTCAAGATATAAAAGGGTCTGAGAGCTCAAAGCCATGGCCAGATGCTACTACCTATAGCACTGGTTCTGCGTCACGGGCCTCGGCTTCTGATCTGAGCCCCCGGGAGAGAAGCCCTGCTCTCAAAAGCCCCCTCCAGTCTGTGGTGGTTAGGCGAAGGTCACCACGCCCTAGCCCTGTGCCAAAGCCTAGTCCTCCACTTTCTAATACATCCCAGATGGGCTCATCTATGTCAGGTGGTGCTGGATATCAGTCTGGAACACACCAAGGTCAGTTCGACGATGGCTCTGGATCTTTGAGTCCATCTAAGAAGAGCCCTGTGGGTAAGAGTCCTCCGGCCACTGGCTCTGCTTAGAAGACCCGGATATTAACCCACAAACCTATGAGCACCTAATTTTTGACAAGGGAGCTAAAGGTATACAATGGAAGAAGGAAAGCATCTTTAACAAATGGTGCTGGCATAACTGGATGTCATCCTGTAAAAAAATGAAAGTAGATCCATATCTATCACCATGCACAAAAATCAAGTCCAAATGGATTAAAGACATCAACATTAATCCGTCCACTTTGAACCTGATAGAAGAGAAAGTGGGAAGTAGTCTACAAGATATAGGCACAGGAGCCCTCTTCCTAAGTAGGACCCCAGCAGCACAGACAATAAGAGAAACAATGAATAAATGGGATCTACTGAAACTGAGAAGCTTCTGTAAAGCAAAGGACACTGTCAGTAAGACAAAAAGGCTGCCTTCTGACTGGGAGAAGATCTTCACCAGCCCCTCATCAGACAAAGGTCTGATCTCCAGAATATACAAAGAACTCAAGAAACTAGACACTAAAACTCTAATTAACCCAATTAAAAAATGGGGTACTGATCTGAACAGAGAATTCACAACAGATGAACTTCGAATGGCCAGAAGACACTTAAGGTCATGCTCAACCTCCTTAGCGATCAGGGAAATGCAAATCAAAACCACTTTGAGATACCATCTTACACCTGTCAGAATAGCTAAAGTTAAAAACACCAATGATAGCCTATGCTGGAGGGGATGTGGAATGAGGGGAACACTCATCCATTGTTGGTGGGAATGCAAACTTGTGCAGCCACTTTGGAAATCAGTGTGGAGGTTTCTCAGGAAACTGGGAGTCAACCTCCCTCAGGACCCAGCAATTCCTCTCTTGGGAATATACCCTAGAGATTCCCTAACATACTACAAAAGCATTTGTTCTACTATGTTCATAGCAGCACTATTTGTAATAGCCAGAACCTGGAAACAGCCTAGGTGCCCCTCAATAGAAGAATGGTTAAAAAAGGTGTGGAACATATACACATTAGAGTTTTACTCAGCGGTAAAAAATAATGACATCTTGAATTTTGCATGCAAATGGATGGACATAGAAAACGCTTTACTGAGTGAGGTAAGCCAGACCCAAAAAGAGGAACACGGTATGTATTCACTCATAAGTGGATTCTAACCATAATTAAAGGTCTTTGAGCCTATTATTCGTGATCCTAGAGAAGCTAAATAAGAAGACGAACCTGATGAAGATTATTTACCTATCCGCCAGGAGGTAGGAAATAGTCAAGAGTCCCAGGTAACCTTGGGTGCATGGGGGAGTGGGAGGGTTGATGGAAGGGGAGAGGGTTAGAGAGAAGGGAGTAGGGGAGGAATGGAGAAAGCTCGGTTGACCCGGATGGGGGGAAGGGAGGAAGGATGAATGTGGGATCAGGGAAGAATATATTTCAACTAAGGGAGTCATATTAGAGTTTACAATAAACTTGATTATATATGGGATCCCAGGTCCAAGGAGAGATCCCCAGATTGTTCTCTGGACAGAGGAGGGGGTGCCTGAACCGGCCTTGGCCCGTGACCATTCTGATGAATATTTTGCTTATCACCATAGATCCCTCATCTGGCGTTGGATGACGAAACAGATGGAGGCCCGCGTTGGAGCACCGAACTGAGCCCCCCAAGATCCAAACGAGGAGCAAAAGGAGGAAGAAAATGACGAAGGACTGCGAGGGATACTATCACCCACTGATACAAGGGGTCGGATCTAATGAGAGTTTACCAAGGCCAGATGGACCGTGACTGAACGAGCATGTGATCCAACCAGATTCTCTGAATGTGGCCAGATTTTCTGAATGTGGCTGGCCTGCAGTCTTTCCGAGAAGCCATTGACAATGACACTGGGACTTGTTTCCTCTGCATATACTGGATTTTTGGGATCCAGTCTGTTTGGATGCTCACCTTCCTGGACCTGGAGTGAGGGGGGAGGAACTTGGACTTCCCACAGGGCAGGAGACCCTGACTTCCCTTGGGGACAAAGAGGGAGGAGGAGAGGGAGGGGGGGAGTGGGAGGGTGTTGGGAGGAGGGGCGTAAATGGAAACTTTTTATAATTTAATAAAATTACAAAAAAAAAGAAAAAAAAAGAAGATGAAGAAGAAGAAGAAGAAGAAGAAGAAGAAGAAGAAGAAGAAGAAGAAGAGACAATCTAGTTTGTCTTCCCTTATTTTTTGTATCCACCCTTTCCATGTTTAGAACTGTGCCATGCACCTTTTGATTATACAAGAAAAATGATGAGAATTACAGATTAAAAGAGTCAGTCTAGGGCCTAGATGGCAACCAATTTACAACTTTCAAAATTCTAGCTGGATGATTAAGACAATTTTTTAATTTACTTATTTATTTATCTATAAAATTTCTACTTTCTCCCATCCTCCCAATACCCTTCCATTGTCCCCACTCCCTCTCCTTCTTCCTCTCCAGTCCCAAGAGCAGCCAGGGCCCCCCCGCCCCGTGGGAAGCCAAAGCTCCTCCCCCCTCCCTCCAGGTCCAGGAAGGCGAGCATCCAAACAGACCAGGATCCCAAAAAGCCAGTACATGCAGACAGTACACCTTTTTCTTTTAAAAAGATATTCACCCCCATGCACTGTGACTAAAAAAATTGTACCCTATTGAGAACCATAATTGCATTCACCAAGTTTTCTTAAAGATAATAATTACTTTGTATAGCTATTATAAAATATGTTTTATTTGAGACAGGGGCACTCTGTAGCCTAGATTAGCTTCAAATTTAGTATACTACCTTCTAAGATTTAGAATAAAAAATTTATGCTTAATATTAACTTCAATACTTATATTGTCTTAAGCAACAATGCCTCTGCATTCAGAATTTCTATGGCATAAGGAATTCTTCTGGAAATTATTGGTATTTAGCATATAGACCAGATTGGCAATCAAGAGACTGTCACTCTGCCCTGGTTTTACCCTTTGCTCTGCGACTTTGAACAAGTCACTTTCACTTTATATAGCTTCATTTAAACAGCTTTTATACAAACAAAAGAAATCCAGTTTCTAATGCAAGCAAATAAAGGTAATAAGAAAATACTGAGGTAAGTCATAGAATAAGAGGAAGAAATACACCATAAAGTCTTTCAAAAGACAGAGATTGGGACACCTTTAAAGATTAAAGAAAAAGGTACTCATGAAGAAAAACTCCCATTCCAAAGAACTCCTACCAGATGACTTGGATCCAAGCATTCCCAGTTGTCAGAAAAAAAACACACATATTGAAAAAAACACTCCATAAATTAAGCATCACAGAGGAGAAATTAAAAGTAAAACACTCCGGTGTGCTCACACTAGTGTTTCTAAGAGTTTTTGCTCTAGGAGACTAGTGTAGTATTTCCAGGGAGATGGTAAATAGGAAAATTTTACAGGGTTACTAATATCAGTCCTAAGTTTTCTCATCTCTCAAAAGAAATAAGGTCTTATAGGAAGGCAATAGGAAGATGTCTCCAAGGTATCTCTGTAAAAGGAGCACTATGAAAGGTGTTCATTGCTCAAGATTTTTTCCTATGTAACTTTTTACTGTATGTTGATGAAAAACTTTCTTAGTTTGAGATGCTTTTTAATTATGTCCAAGTCTAATTTTGGAAGACACAGGGTCGTGGCTGTGAATATGAAATATTGTCATGGTCTGTAACTATGTAGTGTTTTGGCCTTCTCCTTTGAATCCAAGATATCAGCTCTCACTAAAGCTGTCAGAATGTTTGATTCATGTATTGTAGTCACAAGCTCCTTAATAAGTTTCCTTTAGGTTTAGAGACTGAATGATAGGCAATGTGTTTCATAGAGACTTTACGGTTGTTTTTAAAGATGTCGTGTAGTATCAGTGTCATTATGTATTAACTATGTGACCTTAAACTTACCATGTCCACTAGACAGCTTCATTGTCTTATAGATTATATCCCATATTCTTATCACAGGACTTGCTAAAATGTAGTTTCCCCCACAATGATTTCATTAGTTTTTAAAAAATATATTTCTAAAAGCATTTTTAGCTATTATAATTGATCATCATCAAGTGGTTTGCTAATTTTCCCAGTATTTTTTTTAATATTTATTTATTTTATGTTCCAACCACAGTTTTCCCTCATTCTCTCCTCCCCAGCCCTTTCCTCTACCTCTGCTGTCACCCATGCCCTCATCTATTCTTCTTCAGTTTCTACTCAAAAAAGGGCAGGCCTCCCATAGATATTGACAAAACGTGACATATCAAGTTGTAGTAAGACTAAGCACCTCGTTTTTATTAAGGCTGGGCAAGGCAACCCAGTAAGGGGAATAGAGTCCCAAAAGCCAGTAAGAGTCAGAGACAGCCCCTCTTCCACTGTTAGAAGTTCCACAAGAAGACCAAACTACACAAGTGTCACATATATCAAAAAGCATAGGTTACTAACATTCAGGCTCCCTGGTTGTTGGTTTAGTGTTTGTAAGCTCCTATGAACCAAGATTAGTTGACTGATTCTATGGTTTTCTTGTGATGTCCTTGACACCTCTGGCTTTTACAATATTTCCTTCCCCTCTTCAGCAGAATTCCCAAAGCTCGGCCTAATGTTTGACTGTGGGTTTCTGCATCTGTTTCTACCAGTTGTTGGATGAAGCCTCTCTAATGACTATTGGATTAGGTACCAATCTGTTTGTATAACAGAATAGTAGGCATCATTACACTGACATTTTTTCTCAAGACATGTTTGCTTCTATCCCAGGTTTCTGGGCTGTTTAACCACTGGCTCCTGGCACTCAATGCATTGCCAGTGTTGGGCTTACTCTTGTATAAGTCTCAGGCTAGACCAGTCATAAGATGACCATTCTCACTGTTACCCAGCACATCCAAAGGCAGGACAACCTGTATGTCAAAGGTTATGTTGCTGGGTTGTTGTACCAAACCTTCCATCCAGAAAATTTCCTATTTGATGAGAATAACTAACATTAAATCATCAAATACAATATGCAATGTGTTTTCAATATACTATTGACTTTAAAATAATAGTATTTAGGCATTACTATATT